CAAGGTGTGGTTACCTGAATTCTTATCTCTAGAAAACTTTTTTTCCAGACAATTGTACTGAAGACCCCTGTTTTGGGGGAAACAGCCTTTTTCCCTTGTGCACATCCAATTTTCCCCACCCTGTTCTTCTGAGACTCTTGGAAAGTGTGCTTTGAAGCTATTGATTAGGTACTGGAGTTCTATCCTGATGATAATTGCTAGTTTGCTGTTGTAATTGTTATTGCATCACAGTTTTCTGTGTTTTATTTTGGCAGCAGCAGTGTTTGTCTCTTTCATCCTCCCTTTGTATGGAATGTGCTAATTAGATCTTAAACCTAAGGAGTTGCTGGGTACTTGCGTCTTCTTTAAAAATTTAGCCCTAAGTGCTTAATAGACCTGTTCTGGTGGTACCTGATGAATGGGGGCTCCTTTCTGGTAGGTGTATTGCAGTAGGTCAGCCTTCACTTGCCACCTGATAATTCCTTGGGAAAAAATATTAACACAGTTACTTTTCTTGGTCTGTGATAGGATCTGGTGATGAGTCTTGGGACTGTGAAGCTTGCATATCTTACTTGTTTGCTTGTGGCACTTCTCTCTGAATGTTTGAAGTCTTTCAAGGTGTGTATTTTTATCAGTGGCTCTTGACTGGAAGTGAATGACAACTATCTCCTACCTGTTCTGTTTACAGGAATTAAGGAAAGCATGGGGTCTGCATACTGAAAAGCATCTTTTTAATAGACAATAGACTCCTAGACTTTTTTTGTTGCCCTATTTACATGCATTTGCATTTTTCTCAATATTGTTCTTGTTTTCCTTTGTGCAGGATGCCATTATTCCCTACAAGGAAATCCTCCAGATGTACTGGGAGAAAGCAACGAGCTTTGTGAATGCCCAGTGTGATGCATTTGAACCCTGGCAGCTGGTTGTACTGACATGTTCTTGTACTCTTATAAGTGTATGGCTGCATGGCTTCTTCTTCCAATCGGAGAGTAAGTATTTGAAATGGGGGATTTTCTCATGTTTGGGGGGAAGGGAGGGGGGACAGTTGTTCCTAAGTAGCGGAAGGGAAGAAGATGAAACAAGACCAAACACTTGTTAAAACTAGTATTAACTAAACCCTCTTCCAAATTAAGGTCAAGGCCTGTCTGATCAATTAAATGCCCTGTTCCTTCAGAGGGTGTGGCGGGCCAGCCTGGAATGCGCCTGCATCTGCTTCCCTTCCTCTTGTCTCCCTTTTGCTTTTGGCTAAACCATTTACTTGTTGCAACACTCTCCTGTTGCTCAAAACCTGGGAGAATTTATCTGAGAGCTGGGTTCTTGTGAACATAGTCACTGGTGCAGCCTCTCGATAACTCTTGCTCTTGAATGTTTCCCTTCCTGCTGGGGGAGGAGACATGGGTTTGCTTTGGTGTTGGAAGTGTCTTTCATCTTCAGGATGTTCAAGATAGTTGCGTGTGGTGGTGGTGTGTGGGGTTTTTAAATTTTTTTTTTCAGAGCATCTTCCTGGTTTGAGTGGCTTCTGATATTGACAGCTCTTCAGCGAGCGGGTTCTCTTTTGATGAACCTGCAGTTTTCTCTGGCTGTGTGATAGTCAGAGATAACTACCTTGCCCTCAGAGGAGAACACAGTGCTTTTTGGTTTCTGCAGACTTTAGGGTTACCCTCCAGTGGCAGTTTGTTATAAATAGCCAAGTTTTGATAACTTGATGTTTACTTCTATGCCTCTCTGTTCCTCAGCCAGCCTTTTTTCTTTTTAAAGATGGAAGTAGCTGAATAGTGGGAACATCTATGGAAGGAACAAAATGGAACTGAAGCTTTTGCTCAGTACAGGGTTACGTTAGCTTCTTGGTTAGTATTTGTACAGTATTTTTAAGTATTGACTAGCTGTTTTAAGATCTGATTAGATTGTCTGAATTTTTCAGAAGTTTGCAGTTTTCTCTCACTGTGTAAAGTTACTAATGAAACAGTGTGTGCACTGAAATGTGCAATAGAAATGTTCTTGTCTGAATGTTAATGAGTATGTGCTACAGAATGTACCAAACTGAAATTGTTGTCCTTATGTAGCTTTTCAAAGTACGTATGAAGTGAAATATATATGAAGTGTGTGTGGGGAATGTAGATAAAATTGCAAAGTCCAAAAATGATTGATTTTTAAAGTTTGTTATTTCTTGGTGTAAGTGTCCTGTAACTGGTAGTGCTCAATTAAAATGCTTGTAGGACTCAAAAGGCATCTTTGGTGGCTATAAATCATCTGCGTCATCCTGCTTTCATTCATGCCTTTAGAGCTACCTCAGTGTTCTTGTGTTTGTCATCAGTGGCTTCTCGCATTTCAGTATTTGTGATGTGGTGGAATTTCTGCTCTTCCTTCTGTCTGTCTGTCCCCTTCCCCTGAGTTCTGTCCATTGCACCATGCACTTCCTACATCAGATGGCCAGACACTTGTCACATTATGGCTGAACTGCTAGTTCCTCCTTTGATCTGGGAGACTGTTTCATGTTGCTCAGTGTTTCCATGTTACAGTACTATGCTGGTTTGAAGAGGAGAAAATAATTTCAAAAAGTATTTTCCCTTTTTGCTGGAGACCTTACCTCTAGCAAATCCTAAAATCCTTCTCTTTCCTGTAAAATTCCACACGTGGGTGCAAATTCATTTGTAAGTAAGAAAACAAGTCAAAATATTGATTCCTGTGAATGGCTACTGTTCTGCAAGCCAGATGTTTCTGTTGCATTGTCCTCTTCTCAGCCTTGTTCTTTGGTAATGCTCATCTGTCTCACTGTGTTCCCTTGGTCACTGATATTTTAGCTTGGATCAGAAATACTGGGCCTGTATCATGGGCTGTATCAGAAACACTGTGCTTTTTTTTTTTTTTTTTTTTTTAATTGAGTCATCTTAGGTTAATTTCTGACTTTTGCCTTTCAGGTTTAACATCCCGAACTAAAAAGCAGTTCTTTAAACTACTGAGAAAAATGCCCTTTGTGGGGACTATAGTAAGTATTTGAACAACTTTTCTTAATGCTATGCCAGGTCCTCGTTTCAGCCTGCATAGCTTTTCGAGAACTTAGTTCTGTGCATCTTTGTTGTCATGTTACTGTGATCATAATGATCCAAGGATATAGTTCTGGAAGGTCTTCTGCTGCCACCTGGTTTAATGAAAGCTATAGTTTCTGCCTAGTCTTTTTGTCATAGTATCACTCTCATAAAATGGCTGTGCTACCTTTTTTTAACTGAGAATCAGTGAGTGTAGTTACAGAATTTTCCATTAACAATTCCTTGTTGTTAGACTTTAATTTTATTTATGGAAGAAGGGGGCAGGATTGAACTTGAGTTGTTTTTCCTGAAACAATGTCTTATTCTTGAGCAAGTGTGAGATAGCCAGGTGTTTGTTGTGCAACGTGGAAGGATAATTTTTTTTAATCAGATAGCTGGCCGTGTTTAGTTTAGAGCTCAGAGAGACGTATTATCAATAGTTAGCATTATAGCACAAAGATATCATAAGTTTGTGTAATCATTAAAATGAGACAAGCTTTAGTGTTTGGAAGATGTGGTTGTTTTTTTGCATAAAAGCTTGAAACTACAAATGTCAGTGTATTTTAGCATGTTAACAACTTAATGATTGATAAATGTACAGCTTGGTTTATTTTACCTAGTAAATGATGGTATCACGCTTGACTGCATTTATCTTTCTGCTTGTTGTGTTGGCGTATTTACACATTGATTTGGGGAGTCAGGTCTGTTATAGGCAATTTTATCAAATGAGAGTAGCAAAGAGCAACTTTTTTGTTATGCCCTGGACGTGTAAGTGGTTCTGAAGTTTCTTCCCCAGCCCTCTGGAAGGGACTAGCATCTCCTCTTTATGTCATGTTAAGTGCCCCAGCTCTTATCTTCTGACTTGAGTAGCCCTTGATCAGGTGAATTAAGGACTTGTTCTCTTCTGCTTATATTTTTTGTCTGCCTGTTATAAAAGGATAGCTTCTGGGCCCTTTGTATGCAATCCCTGTTTTTTCCAGACTTGGCTTCTCAGGCCTAGCACTGTTAAGCTCTCCTGTGCCAGAGGACTCCTGGTGTGTCTTATCTGTGTACTCTTCCTGCTCTTTGGTAGGCTGATACCTGATAACCTATCAGTTGCTTACAGGAGGCCTTGACTTTGAGGTATTCCAATGTCCAAAAGTCTTTAAAGCTGATGATATCCCAACACCTGTGTTGGTTGGAAGAAGAGTCTCTACTTTGAAATGTGTTGTGAGAAGAAGTCTGGGTTCCCGAGTGTAAGGAGTGGGTGGGAAGAAAGAAATCTCCCAACTGTGTCTCTATTGGAGATTCCTTTTCTGTTTCTCTGTATTTTCATGAGTGTCTAAACTGTGTGTATGGTTGCAGAGGAGCAAAGTTACAAAATAGAATGCATCTGAAGACTCCTACAGATTAAAAAGTGTGACTTAAAAAGGTTCAGTGGGTAAAAATGCAATGCTTTTGCCTTGAGCTTTGTTTTCTGAAGTGTTAAGGAAGGGGCTTAAAGCTCCCACTGCTTATCAATTCCCAGTAAAGAACATACTCTCTCTGAATGTTGTCTTGGTGGTGTCTGTGCTGTTAAATGAAACGCAGCCAAGCTGTGGCCCAAGTGCCACTCTGCAATCACCCCTACTGGTTACTTGGCACAGTTCTGGGCTCTGCCAGCTACCATTCCCACAGGCAATTCCTGATGTGGTTTAGAGACTAGTGTATGCCAGTTCACTATTTTGGGCAGCTCATTTCTCGGGGGAGAGGTTGGTAGGAAGGAAGAGTTGAACTGTGTGGCTGCGAACTCTGCTATGCTTTTTAGTCATAGAGCTGTTCCTATCTATTCTGCTCAATAGGATGGATGGTAGCTAGTGAGTTCAGTCTTGCATGCATTCAGCAATTCTTTATAATATGGCCAGTGCCATTGTTGATAGGGTTTTCCTTTCTTTTTAGATTCAAAAGAAGATTGATGAAGCCTTAAATGATGTCGCTTCCAGTTTATCCTTCCTGAAAGATGAAAAGGATTATATCAAAGCACTGCCGGAACAAGGCATGAGCCAGCCTGAAGTACTAGAGAAGATGAAAGAGTACAGCTCAAAAGGTATGAATTTGAGTCTGTACTGCAGCAGAGGTGGGTCTGTTTCATAGGCCTAGGATTAGACTTACTCTTTTAAACGAGTTCTAATGACTCCTGCTCATGGTTTCATCTTAAATGTTTCCTCCCTGATGTTCTTTGCTTGCAAATTTTTGTCTGTTTTCCTTCTGGAAGTCATGAAGATCAGTATTCGTGACTTCTAATACTGTATTTGGGTATTTACGTTGAACTTCTGTTCTTTCCCTGAGAATTCTAGACTGATGATGGGAGAGCTGAGGAGAAGAGAAATATGGAGGAAGTTACTTGAATGCATTTTTGATTACTCTTCTGAGCCTTGATGTTCAACTTTTACCAGAAACGTGTTTTCTCTGAAGCCCCAGGGAACACTCATAATAAAACCCCTGAACTTCCAAGCAGGATTTTTAGGGAATTTCCAAAACTGTCTTTCTTAATCAAAGTCATAATGGTTTGCACCTTGAAAGTGCTGTTTAAGGAAGGCAAAGCCATGATATTCTTCTCCTCGCTTGATTCCACATAAGCGGTGTCTAAGACTTAATTTGAGCTGTCTCGCTCACATAAGTATCACCTCCCTGATTTGTGTACCTGTTACTCCTAATGAGCAAATTTGGGGGACTTGGAGGAGAAGATGACTGCCCTGCTGCTATCCCAAATTAGAGAAATGCTTTGAATTTTCTGCTAGAACAGTGCATCTAGTCCAAATTCAGAAACAGTTTCAGTCGAGTATCCTATAACAACTTTCTTTTTGTTAAGCATTCCTTATGTAGCTTCTGTCTGTGTTTTCCTTCCCATGATTATTTCCTTCCTTCACTGGGTGGTTCTTCCCTTTTTTCTTTTCCTATAGTCCCCTCCTTCCCGCACATGTGCACTCCCCTTTGAACGTTGCTTGGAAATGAGGGTTGGATTGTGACTATGTTCACGTTATATATGCTTGTGGAGCTGATGCCGTTGAGTTTTATGGAGAGGGCTAACAGTTAGGAGAAGGAGCAAATAACCAAATAAGTGGAAATACGCTGCTGGCGTGTTTGGAGACAGAACGTTACTTGGTTAAGTATCATCATGTTGGACAGTGGGTTAAACCACTTTTCAATGGGATGTGCTGCTGATGCTGTTCCATCCGCCTTCTCTCATTTGTTAAAGTCTCAGTGGCATGTTGTTTTGGGTGAAATTTGAGGCACCCCAGCACTGTAGGTTTTAGCAATACAAGCTTGGACTTTCTGTCTCTTCTCAGCTTACAGTGCTGATGGGTGCTCTTTGAAAGTGGCTTTAACTTTAACCACTTTAGAGTTCAGCTGGTTGGACAGCAGTTTGGGGAGACTGAGTGGGGATTAAGTGGATTACATACTAATATAACTGCTTGCTGCAGCTAGATGTTGTTTATGTGCTGACTCTTTAGTCATCATTTACTTGCAGTTTGCTAAGTTTGTGGGATACGCAATACCAGAGGCTTAGTGTCACGCACAGCTACCTCTGTGGCACAAAAATTGTACTTGTTCCTCATCAGTGAAATCTCAAAAGCTGATTCCTCATCCACAGAAGCGGTGTGGTGACTTGTGTGCACTTCCACATGTGTTCTGAGAATGGCTGTGTTTGCAAGCAGCATACTTTTCCTTCACTTTCAGGAGACGTACGTTGGCAGGATGGGAAAGTCTCTGGGACTGTGTACAGTGGTGAAGAGAAACTCACCCATCTGCTAGTGAAGGTAAAGTGCAAGCAGTCTAACTTTGCATCTTTGCAGATATCCTTAGCATCTTCAGGGTGACCAGAAACCACTCAACACTATTCCATCATTCTTTCAAAATAAATAAGAAAGATCTGAAAGTAAGACTGCCCAACTATGAAGGCGGAGCCTAGGGTGAACGTAGGTGGAAGGGGAATTATTAGCAAAGCATTTGGGCAGTGTAAAGCTGGCCAAGTGACTGTCCCTGTGAAAACACCATGTAGAAATAACTAGGATCCTATGGGATGAGATTTTGATTTGAGTAAGGAAGTAAGAAGCTGGTTACAAGTGAACTGGAAACTGGTACTGACTTTTGAATTCAGGGAATGGTAGGAAGCATAAGATTGCCATAGATAAGCTTCAGCAAGCCCCTGGACAGATGTGCCTTTGCTGCAGGCTGGAGTGAAAGCATCTTTGGCTGTCCTGTTACTGGGAGGCTGTGGAGCCTTTGGACTGGAACAGTTTCACTGAGCAAAACTGAATTCCTCTTGGTTTAAGCAAAAAGGAAGCTTGTAAAATGTTTTTTTTTTGGCGTTGCTGTGTGATCCAAACCTTATGACAGTGGAGCATTGGTGTGCTTCAGTGGTGTCTTTGTTAGGTCTGTTTACCTACTCAGGAACTTTTCCCTTTGAGAAGGTTGGAACATAACCTAAACAGCCCAAAGGTCTGTTTTCAAATGTATCTACTTCAAGAGGTTTTTTGCTAGAAAGGGAAGTCTAACCTTCTTGCTTCTGGAAACAGCTTTTATAACAGCTGTAATGAGCTCTGTTTGGTGGTTGCCATTGCTGTTTTCTGCTGTGTTGACATTTTCTTTGCCACTTCTGGGGAAACATAAAGCTCAGAGCAGCCTTTCTAGAGGGTCCTCCGCTTGGATTGGGTGTTGTGGAAACATTCCCTCTGTGCTGATTATCTGGTGGTTTATTCTTCTGTATTTCTTTTAACATGCCTGCAGTTGCTTTTTGATCTCGACTGCAGGAGATTCGAACTGGCCTATTCCAGCCTTATCCTGTGAGTCCACCGTTGCAGAACAAGCATGAAATACCGGTTTCCATGGCCAGTTTTGTTGTGGTGTGGGTGGACGTTTGTGCTTTTCCAGCTGCTTCAGAATTCCCCTTTAACAGTAACTTGAAAAGTAGTTCTGCAAAGTTGTTTTTTGCCCTGATTTGTGTAAAGCAATCGTAGGGTACATATTGTGTTATTTTTTAGACATAGCTAAATGATTAAACCTGTCTTTACAACAAGAAATACTGCTATGTTATAGAATCATTCCAGAGGCCAGAATGCTCTAGAAAAACAGATTCTTTTTTTTTTTCTGACCCCTCAGCCATAGCTTCCCAGGTTGTGGTATTTACTTGCAGCAGGAGTGAAGTCCAAGGAGATCTGCAGTACTGTTACTGCTAAATGCAGCTAATTTGCTTATACAGTGTGTAGGGTGAGTTCTCAGATCTGCAGTGATAATCCAGTGCTTCATCTGCAACACCAACTTTCTGTCTTTGGTTTCTGAAGGTGTATGAAGAGTTTGCCTGGAGTAATCCTCTCCATCCAGATATATTCCCTGGTTTGAGGAAGATGGAAGCAGAAGTAGTGAGGATTGCCTGTACACTTTTCAATGGGGGCCCAAACTCTTGTGGTGCTGTAAGTAGCCTGTCTTCAACTGTTTCCTGAACATTTTGGATATTTCTGACTTTAGTTTAAGTGCAAATGCACCTTCTGCTATCTGGCTGAGACTTGAGGTCAAGCTCATTCTGGTATGTGCCGTGTCAACAAAGCTGTACGAAAAATGGTTGCTAATTGCTGCTCTTGGTGAAGCTTTATGAGACACAATTTAACTTGGGGAAGTAGTTCTGTAGACAAGACTATTTACTTCACCTTTTTTTCACACTCTTAAATGATACAGGCTTGATGGCAATTGAAAAAAAAAAAAACAAACCAAAAAAACCCCAGTGTAATGTAGCCTGGCTGGTTGTCAGTGGGGGTTGGCAAACAGAGCAGTGAGTAGCTCCCCTCAGCTTTCATCTCTGAACTGGAAATCTGTGAGCCTGCCAGAATGCTAAGATTGAGGACAATGCCAGCTGGCTGGCTAATCACCAGCAAGCAGCTAGAAGTGTTGGTGATCAAGCAGGCATGGCAGGTATTGTCAGCTGTCCAGCTAGAAAGCTGTCTTTCCAGGCTTTTGTGGCCTTCCAGTATACTATGATGGAAAACAGTTTTAAAGCCTCGATAAGAGTTCCTAGCAAGAGTCCAGATGTGTGTTCTTGAACTGATGCTTTCAGAGTCGGTCAAAGAGCAAAAGATGTGAAGTTGCATGGTGAATTATTGTTATAAAAATAAGCCATGGCTTCTTATGCTCCTCTCTCTTGCTTTACATTTTTGGTAAGGATCCTGAATTCCTTGGGCCAAATTCTCTCCCTGGTTACATGATGCGTGGGACACCAAGGTCTGGCCTCCTATCATGATGGTCAGGTGCAGCTGGGATACAAACAGGGTGCTTAATAACTTGTGAGGAAGTAGTTCCATTTGTAAGAAGAATCTAGATGAGATTTTTCAGAGACTGGGCGTGAGGTGATTGCTGTCTGTAAATGTGCTAGGGAGGGAGAAGGGCAGTGATGGCTGAAGATCAATACAGGAAGGCAGTGTTAACACAAGAGCTTATGAGGTGAACTGGCCTTGAATGGGATTAATCTCACAGTTGGAGGCTGGGTTGTGTTAAGGAGGTAAGTACTGGAGTAGCTTTATAGTAGGTATAGTTGGGGCCAAACTCCAGCATCTGTGCAGCGTCTGGGAGTGTAAGACATGATTGTCTTTGATAGTAGGAGGTTGCAGCCTGTGACCTGACTTGTCTTCTCAGGACTGTATTCCTTGTGCCACCATCAAGTTTAAAGAAGGAATGTGCCTCTACCTGTAAAAAGTATTTAACATCACCTCATCTCCTTCCTGGTTTGCAGTGCTGAGAATGCTGGTGAGATTATCCCTGGAGTGAGGAAGAGGCTGGGTCTAAAGCTGTTGAAACTCATCTTTATCAGCAGTTGAAATGTTGATTGATACAACAGTCAGATAGCTCGGTGACACTTAGCATATGCTTGGAGAACTTTGCTTGCTGAAGCCTGCAGTACGTGTGTTCAGTTTTTGTTACGTAAAGTATGTGTTGTAAAAGTGCCAGCCTTGGCCCTGTGTGCTCTTTCACTGAAATTTAAAAGTAGAATTGCCTAAGAGAGTTCAGAACTTTTCTCAGAACAGGGTAAAAAACTGCTCCAGAACAATAAGCTGATGATCACAACCAACGTGAGACCTCCACAGATGCTCTCTGGGGAATCCCACTTTTTCACTCTGTCTTGCTCTCTTCCAAGGATTGTGCCATAAAGCTGCAGCTGTTTCAAATAGAAGCAAAGCAAATGGGGAAGTGTTCAACCTGCTGTGGAGTTATGTTCTAGCTGGTTGAACAGTCAAATTTTCAGGGTGAGAGGAAGGGTTAAAAAGGCGATTGGCCGGAAACTGAAGATTAATTGCATCCCTGTAATTATTTTGTCCAAACAAGTCTCTCCAGTGGACTTTCTGTCTTCCTCCCATGTTGCCCTTCCTGACTGTGAAGTGTCCAGAGTTGCTAATCATTGATGGAGGGGTGTGGCTGGATGTGTGGAGGTCACATGCTTTATAAGTAGTTGGGTTTAAAGACTTCCCTTATTTTCTTCTCCCCAAAACAGAATTAACATTTCAGAATTATTTCTGGAGGATTGGACAGCTACAAAATCATTTAAGAGCAGCATTTTTCAAACTGATGCTATGCTTTCAGTGTGGAAGGCCCTGCTGTAGCTGGTCGCTCAGGCTCATGCAGTTATACTTCAGTAACTGGTGAGGCTGTAAAACAGAGATGGCTAAACCAGGGAGGGTGCAATACTGTGAGTTATCTTTATTTTTTACATTGATCTGTTCAGGATCTGAAAAAAAGCTGCTGGCTTTTTCTACTGAGAAGCCTTCTGGTTTACTTGATTTGACTTGTATTGTTGGAAACTAAAACAAATGCTTTTCCCTTCTGCCCCCTGAATTTTATCACTGCCATCTCTTAGAAGCAGTGTGTCTTAGTTGCCAGGTCCTTGTCTACTGGATTTACTAACCTGATTTAAGCAGCTGGTACTGCTTGTCCATTTTTGTTGGTAGCTAGTGATGGTCCCTGAAGGCAGATGGAGCTTGTTGGTGTTTCTGGAGAGTGTATCTGTGGTTATGCTGTGTGGAAACCACCAAAAGTTTCTGTCTGTGCTTCTCAGTGAGGCAATTTCACTTCCTTTGTGCTCTGATTTCCACAACGTGTTGCAGAACAGCACTTTTTGGGGCTAATATTCTGCTGCTCAGTCTGGGAAAAGCAGCACAGTGACACATTTGTGCTGTTCCCAGGGCTTTCAGGCTTTCAGTGGCCTGGAGATCCCTGTGCTGTCCCGCCCTGTGGTCATGTGGACGTCTTTCTAAGCAGGGTCTCCGGAGAGAAGTCCCCTGCTTCCTTTTTGAAGGTTTTTGGTGTGTGTTAATAAAATCCTAAAATGAAACATGCCTCTTTAGATTTCTGAATGTTAAACCACATGAGCAGCTTGCGTTATTTACAGAAGTTGCCTTTATTTGTGACATGGGGGCTGTAATTCTCCTTCGTTTAAACATGGGCATGAAACCACTAACAGTGTCCTTGTGATTGGGGGGTGTGTGCAGGCATGCCTTTTGCCTTAAATTGCACCAAGAGATGTTCTAGGTTTTTTAAGCAGTTTAAAAGTAATAACTTTCATCAGTGGATGGGTGCTTTGTATTTCTCACTACTGCTTTTGTTCTTAATTTTAATTGTGTTATGCAAGAGCAAAGATACAGGAATTGGTGATTTTTGGCTCCCAGGAGATTCTAATCACATTCTTGCGATGATTTGGACTAATTAAGCTCAGCATATAGAGGAGGAATGGGGGAGTTTGTTCTTGTCTGGTGTATGCATGTGTTCCTGTTCACAAGGTGCTTTGTTTTGCCATGCTGGCTCTGTGGATTTCCCCTCTAATTTGGGGAGAAATCACCACTTTTATGAAAGCTTCAATGATTTTTTAGTAGCTTTTTTGAATTTTAAAAGGAAGGAGCAGCTTTGAAGTGCAGGGGAAAATTGTATATGTGGGTGCATGTGTGTGTATTTGATGTCAATCTCTCTATGAATTCTTTGTACTTACCCTGCAACTGAGGACAGGAGAGAGGAGGCAAAATCAGCTGTTGCAAGCCTAAACCTCCTGTAGAAACCATCTTGTCTCTTCCCCTCCCCAAATTCTGGGGCTTCCAAACTTTGTTGTAATGCTGGCTGCACTTTTGAAGTAGGACTTCAATAGTGAAATGCGAGTGACGTGCCTGGGTGGGGGATTAAACTCTGCAGATCTGTCAGGTTTTATCTGTAGTGATGAGAGGGTCACCTTGAAATAGACAACTAGTTGAATTTGCAATCTGCAGTTTACAGGGGTTTTATGTGACTCTGCCACTACGTTATACCACGCAGTGGATTGTGGTGTATTTTTACTCTAATGCTACCTTAGAAATAAAGTGCAGTTTGCTTTCTTATTCATGGAGTAGTTCAGCTCAGTGAAACTTTTGGTCAGTTTTGTCTCCAGGGTCTGAATGGCCATGTTTCCTAAGGTGAAAATGCAAGCAAAACTTCAGATGCTACAAACCAAAGTGATTCTGTGTCTGACAGTTTGACAGTGATGTGCAAGTGGCATGGCCAAAGAAATCCTAGAATAAGGACTGCATCTCTTATTCCTGTCTTAATGTTGAGGTTCCAGAGCACTGGGATTTGGAGGGAGGAAGCAATGGAAGGGTTATACTGAGTTTAGAAAGCAGGAGGGATATTTTTTTCCCCCCTGTGCTTTCTCTTGTCCCCTCCCATTTGAAAAATAAATAAATCAAGATCAAAAAAGTCTGTTTGCTTTTTTTCCACACACTTTGCCTGGCTTTTGAAGATAGCTCTGGGTTGGAAAGCTGCTTAAAACAATGCCTGTTTCCAGCCCCTTTTCCCCAGGGCATCGCTTGATCCTGTGGACTTTCATTTAGAGGAGAGAAAAAAATAGTTGTGCGAGCCATTGGCGGGGGCACTGCGTGTTGGCTGGCTGCCGGTGTGCCACAGGCGGTGGGGAAGTTGTATCCTGTGACAGTGATTCAAGCCCTGGCTATAGAGTTTGCTGTTGATAGCTAAGCTGACAAAGCCTCCTGTAAAGGAGCAGACTCCCTCTGCAGGTATAAACCGTGTGGACCAAAAGGGGTTTTTGCTGTTGTAGCTGCCCTATGCTAAAAGTGCTGCTGGAGCTCAAGCTGCTCTGGCACATCTCTGGGGTGGAGACTTGTGTTGGTTCTGCAGTGCCAACTCTGGGCTAATTTAGGAAGCTAATCTGGCTGAAATTCATCTCTTTGGGTGGATTTTCAGCTGCTGAACAAGCTTTCTGTGTGGTCATCTAGCGTGCCAGTCTTGGTGCCTGGGAGGAGGATGCATCCTGGATGTGGTTCCTTAACCTGCATCTGACTAACTACTGACTCTGACCTACCAAAAACCCCATGTGACTCAGCATTTCCATGCAGGTGATAAGCCAGACTTTGAAGAAGGGTTTGTCATATATAAGGGCAAGATGTTGGTGTTTGGAAAGGTCAAAACATGAATAAGACTGTACAGAGGCTGCTCTTCGAAGAGTAGATTATTTAGGTGAGAGTAGAGGTAGGGACTGCTTGCTCAACAAGGAGCAGGCCTGGTGGCACATAGTGTCTGGTGTTCAATAACGTGAATCCCAAGATCCCCAAATCACGCCTAGCAAAGTTTTCACAGTCATTGCAATGTTACAAGCAATGTTGCAAGCAGTGTTACAAGTATGCAGTAATCCCATTTCTCTTCTCTCACTGGTGGCAGGAAAGCAATCTGTATTGTACCAGCTGTTTTTTCCCAGAGGTGATAGCTGACAACTTTACAAATCTTTTCATAAGAAGGTTTAAGTGAATGACACAGCCCATGAAAAGCTTAGGACATTGTGTTCCTGCTACCATCTGTTTGCTTCACAATAACGGCAATGATTTCTTTATCCAGTGTGCGGCTCTGGTAGGGTTTATCTGCGACAGCTGTTGACTTTAAACTACCAAAACCACAGAAATTGTCTGTGGTGTGACAGTCAGTTCCACGCTGCCTGTTGTGGCAGCTGCTGCTAGCTGGGATCATACTAGGAACAAAATGTGGCAGGCTGTTTTATGTGCCTGTGAACTTTGTTCCTTATCTCTGTGCTTAATGTTCAGTCATTGTCACGCAGTCACACTTCTTTCCGTTTTTGGGGTTTGCAGCTATGTCAGCTGGGAAAAAAACAAAGGAAAACCCAGACTAGCAGATGTCATGAGGCATGCAAATGTGATTGCATCCTTTTCATGTTTATTTTCTTGGGGGAAAAGGTTAAAAGGGGAAACTGCAGTTGATTCAGCAGATTTGAGCATCAAAATTAGTCCTCCATAAGTGCTGTAAGTAGCTCTTGATTTCTCTTTCACCTGTGCTTCTGTATACCTGTCCCAGGTACCACTCATCCTCAAATTATGGCTCACCCAGTATAGCACTAAGTCAGTCCCACAGGCTGCTTGAAAAACCAATGTCACATTTTACTAGGTTAAAATTCTACTTTGGAAGGTTTGTGCCCACACACTTTTCTGTCCCTTGTATGTCAGAACTCAAAGGCTGGCTGACAAGAGGCAGTCTTCCCACTTGAGGAATTTTTTCCTGTAAAGAGTTTCATTCAGTTATTTGCAATGGCTTTTGAGTTCTAGTATGCAATAGTAAACTTGATTGAACAGATTGTGTGTGTACCTAACCCTTTTCCACCTCCTGATGCAAACCCCTGTGTACTGTTGTAGTAGAGGGAGCTGGAACAGCATAGATGGTGGGTTGTATGGATACTGAGGGACTTGCTAGGGAGAGTAATGCAGAAATTTCTCCTGGTGTGAAATTTCTTGGGTCCTTGAGGACTTAGAAGCGTTGGCCTGGTTTTGACCAGACCTAGGCTGGCCTCTGCAGAGCGAAGGTGGGAGAGAGCTCTGTGCTCTGCAGTGTTCCAGGTTCTGGGGAGGTTTTGTAGCTCAGAAGCAGTGCCAACCCTGAGCTGGCTCTGTGCCTCAGCATGGCAGTGCTCCAGACCTAATAAACCCTGCTGGACTTGTTGACTTAATACAGAATCAAGTTTGTTGTTTCCGTATACGTAGCATAATTAATCTGTAATGCAGATGCACAGTCCCTGGATAATCGAGAGCTAAGTATGTACTACTAGTTTCATAAGATGCAGTCATGTTTGTCTGCTAGTGACTGTGCAGTGTGGTCCCCTCTTGTTAGGCTTTTGAGTTGAATATTTTTTTTTCCTTTTCCCCCTCCACCTTTAAATAGAGGAGTCAATACTTACTGAAGTGTGCGCTTCCAAGCTGAATGTCAGAAAGCTACCTTGAGCTGTTCAGTGGCTTCTGCTGCCCTTGAAAACTTGAGCTGTCCTGTGCATGTCTTGCCTCTGAAGCATCTCTGGGCAGACATGCTGTGGCAGCATCTCTTTTTTTGTGTTTCTCTTCTGCAACATCCATGTAAGCAGTTGTTTTTCTTGTTTGCTTCTTTTCTTCACAACAGATGACATCTGGGGGGACTGAGAGCATTCTGATGGCCTGCAAGGCGTACCGAGACCTGGCTTACGAGAGAGGCATCAAACAGCCAGAAATGTGAGCAATACTTCTGTGACTTGGTTTTTGCTTTGGGGGCTTGTTGGGGGCGTGTTCCTCTGAGTTGAGGTGGATGCTACACCTCAATAATCCTTTCTTTCATTCATAGCTTTTTACCACCACCTCCTCATCTATCTCTGTCTGAAGGAGAGAAACCTGGGTCTAAAGTGGTGCAAAAGCCCAGGAACCTTTAAGCAGCCTGGGTGGCATGGATGTTGCTGGGGGGCTGTGGTAGCTACGCTGTGCAGATGTATTTTGGCAATACCTGTGTGCTGCTCTAGACAAAGCCTGCTCATATCAGCTTTGGGGCCCTCTTAAGCAGAGATTGGCAGGCCCTTTGAAGTGTTTAAGGGATTTGATTTATTCAGATCAAAGAGGGTTTAGCTTGAAAACTCTGGGACTAAAGTTAGGGCTGGTTGGAGCTGAAGTGAGAAACTGTGCTAATTGTTACGCTGCTATTAGAGGATTTGCCCTCTCTAATGTGCTGCTTTTTTCTAGGCAATGCATCAAAAATGTTTCTCTGATTAATTGCTTACGAGGGGAAAATGTAAAAAGAGATGAAATGCTGTGGTGTTCATCTTCTGCTGAATTCCTGTGGTTCTTTTCTTCCCTCTCTAACATTTTTGCATGCTATTAAAGGCCCTAATAAAGATGTGATGCCTCAGAAAACAAGGTTAACTAAGGCTGCTTAGCCACTGCCATTCAAGATGGGAGACAGCAAATGTTATGTTCATTTGGTGTATTTATGCTGCTCCTTCTCTTTTGTATCGTAATTTCTTGGGAATTCTAGTTCCTGGTTCACAGAAGATCGTGCAGTGGGACAGAATTAACTTTAACAGGTTTTGTCTGGGTTGTTCAAGATTGGGTGTCCATCCTTTTACTTCAGAACAACACGTGACTTCTATTCTGTCCCAGAGAGTATTTTCCCCAACTTTTTTTCCTTTTTTGATCTGTGTGATTTTTGACTTGTTGAAACATGCAATTGGCCTGTTTGTGACCAGTTTCACACAGAAATATCTATAGGTTGAATTTTTTTTTGCTCTTTCCCCTCCCGTTCATGGTAAGGCTTAGGTGTTGCCTGTGTTGACATATGCAATCTGTTACTCTTCTAGGTTGGTCCCGATGAGTGCTCACGCAGCATTTGACAAGGCAGCACACTACTTTGGACTGAAGTTGGTTCATGTACCATTGACCAAGGCTATGGAAGTGGATGTTCAGGTATCACTTTAGGCAGCACAGCACTCTTTCTGTGGGAAATTAGCATTGTACAGCAAATAGCAAGAAATCTGCCTATCCAGGTAGCAAGTCAGTGGATAGAGAAGGATGAATGCTTCCTGGCAATAAGGAAAACCAGCAGGATTAAGTGCCTGTCATTGCAGATAAGGTTTGGTTTGAAATAATTGGATGTAAACCATCCCTTTGTCCTGTGTGATTCATTTAGACTAAAATAATATATGTATTTCAGAAATAGCCCCAGTTTTCAGATGAGGACAAACAAAAGTGTTCTAGTATTTCCAAGTGGATGAGTTAAATGACTCAGTTGATGTCTGCTGATGCTTGTAGCTCATTGCTTTGCTTTCTGTAGGCTTTTGTGTGTTGGTTCTTAAGACCAGATGCTGCATGTTTTCACTTTTTATCTTTTTTGGCAGGATGGCACTTGGTAAATGGAATGTGAGCATCTTGTCTCTTTAAATCTTCAGGCAATGAGGAGAGCTATCTCGAAGAACACAGCCATGTTGGTCTGTTCTGCTCCCCAGTTCCCGCATGGAATTATGGACCCGATTGAAGAGGTGGCAGAGGTAGGGTGCCCCTGGCACTTCTGGGTGCTGTAGCAACAGCATGTCCTTCTGTACAAGAGCAGAGGGGTTCCAGGGTGCCAACCAGTGAATCTGGTGTGAGGAGCAGACTGATTAGGAGGGTATTACTGTCCTCAGATCAGGTGTTAACCGGCAGCCGGGTATGCAGGACACAATTTGGAAGTGAGGAGGAATATGGGACTATTTTTTTTTAATACTCTAACTCCTGTGAGAAGGTGGGCTTTAAATACCAGAAGTTACCTCTGGGCATTATCATAAAGCATGGGGCTGGGTTTTGGACTTGAGCTGGTGCATGTGGTGTCCCAGCAAGGCAAAGCAGCAAGTCTTTTGTGCATGCTTTGTCTTTGAACTCTCAACTCTGTGCCATAAACTTCTGCTGTAAATGAAGGTATGTATTGTGTATGTGACTTAGCTCTGCTGCGCGCACTGCAAGACCAGCCAGAAGGGCTCATTCTTTGATACCTGAAAGGAATTAACAGAAAAATAGTCCACCTGGTAAAAAGGCTTTGATTTAGGGCTTACTGGTTGTAGCAAATGTGGTGCAGAAGTCTGAGGAATGTGTGGAGAGGGTAGGAATCAAAGGGCTGGGATCTTATTTTTCAAACATGCCTCTTGATTTTTCTCTCTATGCTCCAGTTCTTTATTTTGTGTGTAACCAGCCAGGGCCTCTGACCTTCTTTTTATTTGGATCACCCCCTTTATTGCAGACGCTCCTGTCAAACCACGTTGTCACATCTCCTTGGCAAACACAGCAAACTGCCAAAATGCGATGTTGTTTTTCCTCTCGCTGGCAATATTCACGTATGTGGAAGGCAGGAAAGGGTATCCCACAAGTAGCCAGCTGTTCTATATCTCCTCGACAGCTTGAGAGTGGCATGATGCTCCAAAAGGGTCCAGGAAACATTTAGTTGTGAAATGCAGAGTACCTTTTGGTGACTGGAGTTCGGGTGTCCTAACTACATCATTTTCTTGCCTGGTTGCGTATTACTCACCAGAATCTATTGTTCATACACAGCTTGCGGTGAAGTACAAAATCCCCTTCCACGTTGACGCCTGCCTGGGTGGTTTTCTTATTGCTTTCATGGACAAGGCAGGGTTCCCTCTAAAGCGTCCATTTGACTTCCGTGTAAAAGGTGTGACCAGCATTTCTGCTGATACTCACAAGGTAAGAAGGTTCAGTCTTGTTTAGTATCTTTATCAATTATCTGGATTAGGGGATCAAGTGCTCCCTCAGTAAGTTTGCAGATGACACCAGATTGGGTGGGAGCATTGATCTGCTGGAGGGCAGGAAGGCTCTGCAGAGGGACCTGGACAGGCTGGATCGATGGGCTGAGGTCAGTTGTGTGAGGTTCAACAAGGCCAAGGGCCGGGTCCTGCACTTGGGTCACAACAACCCCACGCAGCACTACAGGCTTGGGGATGAGTGGTTGCAAAGCTGCCCTGCAGAAAAGGACCTGGGGGTGCTGGTCGACAGCCGTCTGAACATGAGCTGTCACTGTGCCCAGGTGGCCAAGGTGGCCAACAGCATCCTGGCCTGTACCAAAAATAGTGCGGCCAGCAGGACTAGGGAGGTGATCATGCCCCTGTACTCAGCAGTGGTGAGGCTGCACCTCGAATGCTGTGTGCAGTTTTGGGCCCCTCACTACAAGGAGGACATTGAGGTGCTGGAGCATGTCCAGAGAAGGGCAACGGAGCTGGTGAAGGGCCTGGAGAAACAGGTCTTATGAGGAGCACCTGAGGGAACTGGGGTTGTTCAGCCTGGAGAAGAGGAGGCTGAGGGGAGACCTTATTGCTCTCTACAAATACCTGAAAGGAGGTTGTGGTGAGGTGGGTGTTGGTTGTCTTTCCCAAGTAACAAGTGATGGTCAAGAGAAAATGGCCTCAAGTTGCGCCAGGGGAGGCTTAGATTGGACATTAGGGAAAATTTCTTCAGTGAAAGAGTGGTCAAACACTGGAACAGGCTGACCAGGGAGGTGGTGGAGTCGCCATCCTTGGAGATGTTTAAAAAAAGTGTGTAGATGTGGCACTTTGCGACATGGTTTAGTGGGCATGGTGGTGTTGGGTTGATGGTTGGACTTGATGATCTTGGAGGTCTTTTCCAACTTAATGATTCTGTGATTCTATAAGGGGGGAGAAAGGTCTTCCAGTGCTTTCATTTTTAGGGAGTGATCCCTGATGTCGCCCCTGCCTTCAGGCACTTCTGCTCTGCTGTGTGGAGGAGTGCTGAAGTGCAAAGGTAGGGGCTGCTCTATTCAGATGCTTTGTGCAATGCGCCAAAGTACGAGCAGATGGGATCTTGGTGACTGTGTGCAGTAACTGCTCAAATGTGTTCCTGTGCCCTCTTGCTGCTTTTTAATGCCTTCTGTGTTCCTTGCAGTATGGGTATGCTCCCAAGGGTTCCTCAGTGGTGCTGTACAGTGACAAGAAGTACAGGAGCTACCAGTTCTTTGTAGCACCCGACTGGCAGGGGGGCATATACGCCTCCCCCTCCGTGGCGGGCTCCAGGCCTGGTGGAATCATAGCTGCGTGCTGGGCAACTCTGATGCACATAGGAGAATCTGGCTACATTGAGGCTACGAAGAGGATCATTAAAACTGCTCGTTTCCTTGAATCAGAGTACGTGCGTGCCTCCGTGTTTTGACTGTATTCTTTAACCCTGTTATGGACTCCTTCTCCCAAACTGCTTTTGTTTCTCTTCCAACTTTTCTTTTTCCCTGGAGAAGCTATAGCATATTACCTGCTGGATAGGGATCTGCTGGGCAGTTATGGGAGAAAATTAATTTTTTATGCCCAGGTGCTGCCCTGTGCCAGATAGCTGAGAGGTGCAGAGAGGAGGAGTGCAGGCATCTTTAACTGACTTTTCTTCGAGACTTTCTTCTGCCTCAGCCATGGCTGAGGCGGAATCTGGAAGGACTTACTCAAGATGACAAAAGAAGGGTTATATTCTCTCTTGTTGGGGTGCTTATGTTGCAATGTGAGCTGATAAGCTGATTTTCTCTGCTACTTTGTCTTCCCTTGTTTCTCTTGTCTTCCCTCTTTTCCATTTCTTTCTGAGTTTACTTGACTTTAGGGCCTGTAATGATCTGAATCCTCTTGCAAGTCCCAATGGCCTAGGCTGGTTGTGTGGATTTTTTTTTTTTTTTTTTTTGGGGGTAGGAATGTGCTGTCACCTGTTCCCTTCTGTAGCTTTTCCTTTAAGGCTCCACATAGATGGACAAAATGTCTGGCCCCTGTAACCCTGCTCAGTCGCTTCTTTTCTCCTTTTTTCTTTTCAAGGTTGAGAAAAATTGACAGCATCTTCATTTTTGGGAAACCTGAGGTGTCTGTCCTCTCCATCGGTTCAAACACTTTTGACATTTATCGATTATCTAATTTCTTAGCTGCAAAAGGATGGAACTTAAATGTCCTACAGTTCCCATCAAGGTGAGTTTATGGAGACCAGTGGAGAGATGTATGTAGCCAGGGTATGCAAGATGGTCATCTTCAGGCTGTGTAGCTCTCGTGATTTGCGGAGTGGTGTTGGCCTTATCTGATAAATTGTATGTAGACTCTGCAGAGAAGGAATTACTTTTGTAATTGCTGATATATAATAGTTACTGCAGTGAGAATGAGGAAAGAGTAATTGTAATAAGCCTGGCAGAGGACATATCTGGGGCCCCCTTTCTATTTACCTCTAATACAAGCAGAAAAATATAAATAGCCAGGGCTTTAGCTCACCTTAGTTAACTGAGGGTTTGTAGATTGATTTATTTTCAGTATCTTCCTGCTGCCCACTGAACATGAAAGTAATTGAAAGAACAGTGAAGGGCTGATCATGTTCAGTGATCTTTGCAGCCTGGTGTAAAATGAATGTTTGTCAGTTTCCTTGAGTGGATAGTTGTTGTTTTACTGTGGGTAGGAAGATCAAATGCTTTCCGATGTAGCTGCACTGAAAAAGTTTTGGACTTGCAGTTAGCATGAAGCGAAGTCTAGAGAGCCTGAAGCAATACCTCAGAGGTGACAGCTGCATTGTTCTCACCAGAGGTACCTGGAATGAGCTGAGAAAATTATAGGACTTTGTGTGTGGTGAAGTCAGGAAGGAAGGAGTTGCCATTTTGCAAAAGAGCAGCTGAACTCTCCGCAGCTTGGTTCCAGCAAGTATTTTGCAAGAATTACCTTTAATTGGAAAGGAGTGGATTGTCTTCTCCCATTATACTGCTGAAATGCTTTTTGAAGGAGATACACGGTTGTCACTGGCTTGGGAAGGACTAAATTGCTGTTGGTTGCTCAGAAAATGTGGAGCTGTACATACTTGAGATGGTTAATCTTTCCCCTCTCCCCTGCCTGCCCAGCATTCATCTCTGCATTACACAGTTGCACACAAAGTCTGGTGTTGCTGAACAGTTCCTGAAAGATGTCAAAGACAGCATTGAGGATATCATGAAGGACCTCAACGCCAAGACCACAGGCATGGTAAGGAGGCCAGCATATAGTAAGGGTTTGTTTGGGGTGAATGTGTTTCTCTGATGGTGTTAACAATCCTGTGTAATGACCTCCTCTTCTCTGCTTAGGGAGCCATCTATGGAATGGCCCAGTCAGTCCCAGACAGGAGCTTGGTAGCGGAGATTTCTCAGGCGTACTTGGACGGCCTCTACAGCACGGATGTTCCTTGCAGTGAAAAGCACATGAATGGCTCTCCTGGCCACCACTGACTGTAGGGCAACAATCCATGCCTTGCCCGCTAGCACTGGGGTGGTTCTGAACGTTTCCCAGGGGAAGAGATTGCAGTAAGCCTTTGCTCCTACAATGGCAGGTCTGATGGCAGCTTGATCTTGAAAACTTCCTTCCTTGTCTTAGTCTGTTCCAAAATACACATTATTTTCATGCCCAGCTTTAGTTTTAGGGCTTTTCTTCCCCTTGCCTATTTTCACCATGGCTATTGATGAATTGAACATCCATTCCACAACTCCAAATTCCTCAGGTATTCTGTGTGTCACTTCATTCCTTGCTGTTTCTTCTCCTCAGACCTGGTATTCAGCTGGTATCTAGCCAAGTGTTAGATTTGAGTTCTTGTGTTCTAAAGCTTCAATCTTCCCAGAAGCTGAAGGTAGAAAATAAATAGTTTTGAGTATTCCTCCAAGCTACTGCATTTAACAGACTCTGCTGGGAGCCTTAGATCTGTGTAATGCAGAGCCGATAAATTGGCAAAGGAAAGATGGTCATGTACTCTCTTTGAAATCCCCTTTGGAGATCTCAGTGAGACTGCAATCAGTATCTGTTGGGGGGGGGTGGGAAAAAAAAAAAACAAAACAATGCAAAATCGTTTTCTGGAATCTCTTGGTTTGATTAACAGCAGAAATAGAAACCAAGCAAGTGGTGTAGGGAGAGGAACTGGATGGTACTGAAAATCCTAGGTACACAGTAACTGTTTTGCTTCCCTGCCTCTTCTAGAAGACATGCATTTACCACCTAGAGTGCTTTTGTTGTACCTTGCACAATTCTGGAGGGACGTGCAAAACAGTAGTTTCACTGTTCATAACTTGAACAGTTTTGCACTATCTCACAATGCTGTAATAGTCGGTCAGGCCCTAGCGTGTGTCATGGCTAGGGACTTCATGTGCAAACGGATAGCGCCAAAGCTGACCTTTTTTTACCGTGATCTTTTAGTATAAAAAGGTGACTTTTGTAATAGTAGTAATCTCTGCTCTTTGCACTGATTCTTTTAAGGCACATTCTCAAAAGGGCATTCACCATTGTGCCTTGATGCTTCTCTGGCTTTTTTTTTGTGGGATGCCAGGGAGGATTTGAGGGTTCAGCTGTTGACCGCAATCTTTGCGGTTATTTCCTTATGGTACTATACTGGAAAAAAAAAACAACCTCAAAGGCAGACTGGCCTCAAAGTATGCTTGCCTATAAGCTAGAGTAGTAGTTGTATTGAGCCAAGTCCCTTCACAATATTACAAAGATGCTGGTATAGCTCTGAGAGGTAGATGACAGGATGCAGCAAGTTGGGGGTATTCAAGCATTGGGCATATGGCTCACCCTTCCTATTTTTCTCTGATGTTTTTATGGTGAGAGAGTTTTCCCAGTGCAACTTGTGAGGCAGTGTGGCATTAAGGACAGGCTAGAATCTCTTAGTTATTAAATGGTGGAGTCAGTCCTGCAGGGCTTTCCCATGTGTCTCCTCTCAGCTTTTTCCATGCTACTGAGAGTTTTCTGGGCAGAGTTCAACACCTGGAAGAAGACTTTGTGCCACGTCTGCAGAGTCTTCTGCAGGGCATCTGAAGGCATCTGTCTCTCAGCTGTAATGGGCTTGTTAGCCCTAAGCTGGCCCTCGCTGGCTTAGTGCAGCTGAAGCACACGCTTGCACAGTAGTTATACCAAATGGGAAGGTTACTTACCAGCCATTACACACACACAAACCAGTGCAGCCTTGGGCCCAGTGATTGTGTGAAGAATACTTGCTTTTTAACAGGTTTGTTCTCAGTGCTAGGGGACGGAAGTATTTTGGCCATCTCCCCTTAAATTGATGACTTCATGCATGTCTAAGCCTTTTTGAAAACATCACGTTTGAATTTCCTGATAGTCTCTTGATGGTGTTACCAGTTACTCAGCGTTTATGTTGGACCTATTTATTCTGTTAATGTCTTGCCAATGTGACCATTGCTGCCTCTCTGAGTTTACTGTACTTTGGAGACAGTCTTAAGTGTCTGGCTACTGTGATGGTTCTCTTTTGAACCGAGATTTAAAAAACAAAACAAAACAGGGAGGTACTCTTTTTTTGTTTCTGCTTTAAAAGAAAGAGGGGATGGATTGGGGTGAGGTTAAGGAGATGAAAACTCCCTCCTCTTCCCTGGTTGCATTCTCCTCCAAGAAAATAGATGGATCTAACAGATCAGTACTTCATTTCACATTTTTGGATGTATTTGAAGATGTTATTTGTAAGTCAATGTATTCCATTCTGGGCTTCACTTACTAGTAATATTTGTGGGTTTTATTGTTTTATGTGTATTTGTTCTATACTGTAAATGTAATCTTCTGGTCAGGAATAGGCCACTGTAATTTACTGGTGTGTAGTCTTTATTCATCTAACATGTGATCTACATCTCCTTTATCATGCCAAAGGGTCTTAGGAAAATGATGCGATTAACAGGCTGTGTAATTATTTAAAAGACAAAAAAAAGGAAGAATTTTATGGACTGGATTATGATCTGGAACTGGATGGTACTTTAGACCTGGAGGGATCTTCGCAACTGTTAATTCCTGTCACGTTTTCCAAGTGAGACCTTAGGTTTCTTGCTTGTACAAAGCACTCCCAAGGGATTTGCGTGCTCTTAGGTACTAATTGAAGAATATCCAGTGGGATGGACTAAGAAGAGATGTGTGTCTTCATGCCTTGGATTTCACCTGCACTTTTCTGATGACTTGGGGGAGGGGGGAGCGGAAGGGTTGCGTACAACACAGTAATATCTTGCCCAATAAATACACATTGACTTTTTAATGGACAAATGGGATGAGTTCATCTGATGGCACTATTCTGTATTGCTCTAATTTGCCACTGTAAAACTGTAGGCTGAAATAGCTGAAGAGATGGTGAAAATGGGCCTAGTTTGTATTAAAATGGTGCGTTTAGCTATATAGGCTCATTGAACTCTTATTTTTCTGTTTAAATGCTCATTTGAATGAATGGGGACTTACTGCTCCTGGTCTTTGCTCATGCACTGCCTAGTCTGTAGCGGGGAGAATGATTTATGAATCTTCTAACTCTGCCCAAGGGCTGCTCTTTCATTCTGTCAAGATAAAGGTGTGGTGTCCATGGCATGTAATGTTCAAGGATGCTGAAAATCGTCATTAAAGAGCTAAGGATTTTCTCTTAATACTTCGTAGAACTTTAAAGAGTTAAACCCCGCCCCCCCCCGAAACCTGAATTGGAAGTTTGTAGGGTTTCTCCCAGACTGATTTGCTGAAAGCAGCTACTGGTGGCTTCACAGCAAATTCTTCCTGTTGTACCAAAACTGCAGCAATTTGGCTGCAGATCTCCTGAATGACAAGATCATTGTATTACTGGAGTGAAGATATTACACCACCCAATCCATCCACCTACAACCTCTTTTGGAAGATACTTCACTGTAAGCAGCCCCTGGCTGCGCTGCTTTTGTGCCTTTTGCTTGTGCCTTCCTTGTGTTTGTGCCTTGGCTGTGGTATGCTTCTGATTTTAGCACAAGCAGTTTTTATGGGACCTGCTCTGCCTTTGATAATCTCATTCTCTTCAGACTCTGTTCACTTTGAGGTGCAGGCCTGCAAAGGCATGTGCCATTTCTCAGTGTTCCTTCACCAACAAGCTTTTCCATGGCAGAAGCACCTTCTTGAGAGCAATCAGGCCAGTCCCCACCTTGAGAAAACCTGTTGGTGTAATTTTGACAGTGAGGCCTCCTTCCAAACTGACATCAGGTTAACCAAGAAGTTTATTGTAAACATTTTCAATTGGTATCCTACTTAAAGGCCAGTTACAATAGGGGTGAGATCACATGCCTGCATATAATACTGCTTGAGAGGTAATACAGTAATAACCAAATCGCACGTCACAGTTTCTGGTATGTTATAGACAAACCAAAGGGTTCATATACCATGTTCTAGAAAAAGCATATTCCAGTAGGTAAGAAGCAGTAACACAGTGGCTAGATGGGGTCAGGCTCTGGAAAGATTTACTGGTGCAACTGTGTAACATGACTCCTGGTAAAAGGGCACATCTGCTGAAAGCCGCAGAGCTAAGGAAGGGTTTAAGCATAGAAGCGGCAAGATCAGAGATAGATATATGCACGGTGCCCAAGAAGTGCTCCATCCATCTGAGCTGTGGCGGCGAGGGTGGCATGGTGTTAGGCAATCTGGATCCAGGAACTAGCTTGGAAGTGGAAGAAGGCTCTAGGTGCAGCCATCCAAGGGAGATGCGGGTTGTGGCAGTGGGAGAATTGATTTGGCTTCACGTGGCTCTAGTCAGGAGAGAGAAGCTGCAACCTGCTCGATGAAGCTGGCCAAGTTGATGTCTCGCTCTGATAAGCCTCCACACTCGTGGGTGCTCAAGGTGATGTGAACCTAAACCAGACAGACAGACTGACCAAGCGTTGTGGCAAAGATCAGGAATGGCTTCCCCCAGCGCTGCAGACAGTTTGCATCTGATGAGGCTGATAGGACTACTGCTTTCTCCAGACTTGTTAGCAAAATTTCCCAGGGTGGAAGAGGTGGTCTGGCACTTTTGTTTTCTCCTTCCTACAGCTCATCCTAGCTGCAAGCTGTCACTGTCACCCTTGCCTTGGTCATAGCAGTTGGCTTGTGCCCACTTCTCAACTTAGTCTTTCTCCAGAAGCTTTTCCCCTTCTGATACTGATTTTAAAAAGCAACCCTAGTGCCAGCCTACAGGCAGCTACTGCTCAGCTGAACAGGTGAAAAAAGGGGGAGGAAAGGATCTGTAAGTGATAGCTATAGCCTGTCTGTGATATGCCAGAGGAATAGCGTCTGAGGGAAGAGATCCCGCTGACCTGAAGGGGTCTTGCTGCTGCTGTTTTATGCCTCAAAAAAGGGATCTGCTCCCTGAAGAGCTCCATTTGTCCCCACCACCCCTGTTTCTTACCTTATTGTACACATTGAACCATTCGGGGTGGTGATCCAGTTTTTCTGCCTGTAGAGCCACTCTGGTCATGAAGCCGAAGGCCTGCCCAGTGGAGTAAGAAGAAAAGTTGACTTTGAACCACTTACCCTATGATAAATCGGTTTTTACCCCATTACTATTAATTTTACACCGCTTGTTTCTGGGTAACCCAAACAAATGCAAGGGATTTGCTGTGATGTGTGTCTTTGTCGAGGTTTTCTATGGGTTTTCCTCTCTT